AGTTTTTCTTATATTTAAATAACATAATATTAAAATTACAGACATTCTAAAATACTTCGAAATTTTTATAAAAAAAAACTTAAAATCGCGTCTGGCACATAGGTAGTTAGCAATGTGAAAAATGGCTGGCAATAAAAAAAGTATGACAGGTAGACTTATTTAAAACGAAAAATTAAAAATTACGCTTCTTAAAATGCTTTTAAAATCCAGGATTATTACATGGACAGATAGGATGCGCACTAATGAACGCAACCGCTACCGCCAGCCAGATTGCCCAGACTCTAACCGAAATGGTCCGAGAGCTGGCACCAATTTTTGGGCAGGTATTTGAGGCAAGCTGAAAACTTGTCACATACCTCTCCTATTATATTCCAACACGGAATTGCAGACCTGGCTGGTGAGTAGCGGGGCTAAATCAACCCCTACATTTTTAAAAATATAATTTTTTTTTCCCCAAAAATATATTTGAGGCAATACGCAATTTATATATGTTGCAGTGTAATACTTAATAAATACGAAAAAAAATAAGCCAGACAATTTAATCGGGGCTGTAACATATCCAGACGCGTGCAAAAATTTTTTGCAAATAATTATAAAAAATGTTTTTGAGGCAGCTTCAAATTTTAATGGAGTGTTATTTATAACTATAAAATTAGATTCCCAAAAAGACAGATCATTTCGGTAGGGCTTTCTACCTGCCAGGTGATCAAACAAATAATGGATTGGTACGGGCTTGTACTACTATAGACAAGCTGTAGTGTGAGAGAGAGCGCATTTCGACAGCTGTCTTCGTTCTTGCTTGCCGCGTTACTATTGGCTCTAGCGAGGCCACGTGACTTACAATAACCCATGAGGTTTCTAGTTAGAATTTCGGAGTAAAAAATAAAAAAAAAGTACCCATCCATTATTTGTTTGATCACCTGGCAGGTAGAAAGCCCTACCGAAATGATCTGTCTTTTTGGGAATTTTATTTTATAGTTTTAAATAACACTCCATTAAAATTTCAAGCTGCCTCAAAAACATTTTTATAATTTTTTGCAAAAATTGTTTGCACGCGTCTGGCAATGTTACAGCCCCGATTAAATTGTCTGGCTTATTTTTTTTCGTATTTATTAAGTATTACACTGCAACATATATAAATTGCGTATTGCCTCAAATATATTTTTGGGGAAAAAAAAATAATGTTTTTAAAAATGTAGGGGTTGATTTAGCCCCGCTACTCACCAGCCAGGTCTGCAATTCCGTGTTGGAATATAATAGGAGAGGTATGTGACAAGTTTTCAGCTTGCCTCAAATACCTGCCCAAAAATTGGTGCAGCTCTCCTACTATGAGAGTCGCACGCTGAAGGCCAACAAGCCGCCGCTGCTTCTTTAAGGTAGAAAATAATTAACGTATAAATAGGGTTTGCTCTGTTAATGTTAAAAAAAGAGACTAAAATCATGGAATGTATAATTCGAAAGTCACAATCGATTTAACTAATTTTAAAATTTAACAACCATTCCAAAACATTAAATTGAGATAATGTAGCAAAAAACAAAAAGGAGAAATATAAAATCTTATTTGAAAGCGTCGATCTACTACATCACCGATCTGAAACTTTTAACTGAGCGTTTTGTTCCCATTATATTTCGCCCTACAGGGTTTTTTATTTTATTTGTTAAAATTATTTTAGCATTAAAATATCTGATCTTAACATGTATGCGAACGCAGTTTTATACATTAAGACCAACCTATTCTGTCAGGTTAAAAAAAACTCCTTTCATATCTTATCATTTTTTAAGACCACACTACAATCCCGACCCAATCCTTATGACGACGCCCACGGGTCGTATTTTACATTTTTATCTCAGAAATAATGGGTTATGTCTGTAAAGTATATTGCTTTTATTTTACGCGGTTCGGCCGTAAATAACTACGTAGTCGGTCCCAAAGTTCTGTCATAAATGGAAATAATGATAAAAACAAAAGTACTGATCAGTTTGTAATGAGTGATATATCAATTCTTAGTACATTAATTAAGGAATAAAAAAAGCATAAAAATATTCGAAATAACCTCCCTCATTTTTAATACAGGCCCTTAAGCGTCGCGGCCAGTCGTCTATCGCAGCACGCACCATATTCGTGTCGATTTCAGTCACTGGTTTTTTTAAAGATGACTTCAGATTCTCCAAATTTTCATGAGGTTTATCACAGACCTTCCTCTCTAAGCCCTGTCATAATTTCTGGTCCAAAGGATTAAGGTCCGGACTGGAGGAAGGCCAATCCTCATGTCTAATTAAGACGATGTTTTGACGCTCAAACCAGGCTTTAGTGGTCTTGGCTTTGTATGCAGACGCAGAGTCCTGCTGGAACACGAAGTGATGTCCCGCAAATAGGGTGCTGGACATGTCTTTGACAAGGCGATACAAAACCGTCTCTTGGTACACTGTAGCACTGGTTTTGACCCCCTTTTCGAAAAAATTAACCTCAGTTAGCCCGTAATAGGACACTCTCAACCAAACCATTACTGATGATGGATGATGTCCATGTTGCACCCTTGGAACTTTATTTTCAGCTTCTTCAGAACTCCTAGCGTACACTGTATAATTCTGTTTATTGTACTTCTCTTCAATATCGAAAAATTTTTCGTCCGTAAAGAGGATATCACGGTGTCGGTTTTTCGCGTACCGCTTAAACAACACCCGCGATCTCTTAAGCCTTATTGCTTTTAGACGAGCATTAAGTAAGTGCCCACTCTTTTTTGTATGCTCGTAGACCAAGATCTTCATTTAAAACCTTTTTTACTGTTTTCCTACTGACACCCATCTGCAAATCCATCAACTTCTGTTTTCGGACAGGATTTCTTACTATCCGCGCCTTGATAGCTTTGATTACTGCTGGTGTTCTTGCGGAGCGTGGCCAGCCAGTTCTTTTCTTGTCCTCAACACTGGAGACTTCAAGGTACCTATCAATAGTACCGTACACAAACCTAAGCGTTATATTCAAATTTTTGAGCAACTTGAAAATGGTACTCGGCGAGTGTCCACAGCGGTGCAACGCAATAACAACTATTCGGTTTACTTTCAATGTCCACTCCATCGTGAAAAATTACGGAAAGTTATTGTTTTTTGTTTTAAAACAATAATCAAACATTCCAAAATAGAATGCAATAATTTTTTTATAAAATCCTGCTCGAAATGTAGAAATAATGTGCTAGTGACAGAACTTTGGGACCAACTACGTAGATTTCACGAGACCCTTGAAGTACAATGAACTAAAAAGGTCTACTTAAATTAATTAGAAATGTTAAAAGCGTTTTTGTTTCAAAACTTTTCCAAACCACGACTAATTAATATAATACAACATTTAATGCGCAAAAGTTAACCGGTAAAGTTATGCAGAACATAAAATATTCATCAATAGATCGTGCCTATAGCGGGCGAAAACTTTTAATGGACAAAGTTTAATCTACCAAGAAATGGATGCGTTACTCGTAATTCGGTGTTGCCGGCGAAAAATGGGACGTGATTTATTTGAAACTGTATTTCCTCTTTGTTAAAGTGTTTTTGTTTACTTCGTTCATAAATTCTCTGTATAAAACAAGAGACGAATGTTCTTGTTTGGAGTTAGTTGTATAGTTAAGTATAATAAATCGCAATCTTATTTTTGTATTTTAATTACGATTTACTAATAAAAACTATAAATTTTGGATAGATAAATAAATAAAAAGACAGAATGTCTTAAAACGAATACAAAACCTAACGTAGATATTTATATATAGGTTAACTTGATTAACGTTGTATGCCAAAATTTACAAAAATTACGATTTGCAGTTTCAAAAACAATCGTTACGACCAGCTACTCCAAAACCGCCGTCCTGTGTACTATTTTAAATATTACAAAATTTCCAGACGCTGTAGAGAAGGATGTACTAAGAGAATAGACATATTTTATTCACGTACCCCAAAATCATTGTACACGTCTTAGGCGACGCTCGATTAACTTGACCCAGATCCAAATCCCAGGTTACCACTTCAATTCTTTTGTTGGGATAAATTTTCTACCTTTTTTATTTCCGACAATTTTCTATACAATATAAACTCGTATTTGCAGGACGATTACAAATTACCTAGTTGACATATTTTAGGTTTTTCAAAATACGTTAAATTTTGAAGAACTGGAGAAGTAGACTCCAAACTGTGACTTTCCTGACTTAATCTCTCAGCCCCGATCCCTTTTTGCTTCTGAAGTCACAACACGACAAAATAACATTTCATCCTCTTTTGGTGCCTCTCCATTACCTGGAGTCTGGTCGACAGTTTCGTCAACCATATCTAGTCCTGTGCCAGATGCAGCAACTTCTGCAGTCGCAATACCCGTCCACTCCCTAACGTTGCGAAGCTATGTTTTTTTCCTTCTCACACGCTGTTTACCCTGGATTTTACCCATCATAATTAATTGAAGGAGTGGCAGCGGTCAGTGCGCAACACGTGGCCCAGGTACGCAACTTTCCGTTGTTTAATGTTCTGTATAAGTTTCTTTGACATTCGAACTCGATTTAAAAAAAAATTAAGAACTTTCTTGTTAGAGAACTTCTGGATCCAGCCTATACGAAGCTTGCGACGATAGCATCTCATCTCAAAATATACTTCTTTAAAATAACATTTAATAAAAGATAATAGCGTCAGTATCATTGAATGGTGTTTTTTATGAAACAATGGTATTTCTGGAGCCAAAAGCATAATCTACATAAATAAAACAAATTGCATTACAATAATTATATTATTTTACTATTTCTAAGTACAAAATTAACTATAGTATTTACATTTTTAGGGGCGAAGACGGGTTTTATTTTTGTGTTTAACAGTTCATTTACGTCTTCATGATATTTGATATCACTATGAACCTTAGAACAAAGATTACTTCTCCAGTTCTAACCTCCATTTAATTTCATATAATTTGTACAAATGCGGACAATAAATGTAAGTTGCGCCATCTCTCGATATTTTACGGAAGCAACTCAATCTGAGTCAATCTCTTCGGCAACCTGCTGCCACTTCGCGACCAAGGAAGAGACTGTTTTCTGCTTCATTCCTATCGAGCTCGAGATCTTTACCTGTAAAAAAATACTTTTGATGAGTAAGCAATCGCGCAATGCCGTATTTCTTGACGAACTGCCGTCAAAGTATAATCTCACCTTAGTCTTCTTCTTAATCTTTTCCTCTTTTGGCGTTTTCAAACATTTATCTCGCTCGCTCCTCTCATATCTGCTCTCCTCTCTCTTCTCCTTTTTCACTACTTCCTTTTCGCTCTTCTCTTTCCGTTCGGGAGAGTTGGTGCCCGATGACGGATTGGACTTTTCCAGTTCGGCCAAATCGTTGTAGAAAGATAAAAGTTCGTCGCCTATTTGTTTCTTAGACTCCTGAAATAAATAAGTTTATTAAAATGTTTAGTACATTGTCAAAGTGACTTTGGATCAATCGAGAATTGGTTTCGTATTTTGTATGCACATTCTATTTTAGTTGTGGCATATGTCCCGGTCACCTTGTCAAACGGCGTGTAGAAAATTAAAAATAATCAGTAGCTAATATTTATTACGCGTGGGAAGATGACCGGCGCTGACCCACTGTGCAATTAGTAGCGCGGTAGGTTGTTGAACCCCTAAACTGTGTTATTTCAAATGTCAAGGTTGCTATTATTTCAGAAAAACTATTGGCCTGAGTTAAACGGCTGTTGTTGTAGATGTATGTCAAATATATGTTAATTGAAACAGTTTGTTTGAAGCTGGGTCTGGCTTTAATCGTTTAAAACATGAGCTTATAACTAAAAAGTTTCTTAAAAATCTAAGTGACGCTATGTTACCTATAAAGAATATAAGTCTAGTCGGCCTAAATTGCTAACATTTGGTTTGCGCTTCTAACTATCATCTAAAATATATATATATATGTGTGTATGTAACCTAACAATTTTTCGTTCTAAAGCAGTATTTCTTCGATGTTAGAACTAGCGGAGGAGAGCTCCGCTACAGACAACCTAACGTTAAATTCTATATAACTACAAATCCTGGCTATTTCATTGCGAAGCTGAGATAATTCATCCCTTTCAGTCGTAGATGGTCTTGACTCTCGCCATTTCGGCGGATGCTGACTTATCGACTGAACAGATACGCTTTTATTGTCCATTTGGATCAGAACCCCATTGTTAAACGACTCTGCACATAACATCTCATCTTTTGTGCTATTGTACAACTTACTGCAGACTCACGCTCATTGGCCATATTGACTTTTATTGTCCGCGCGCTACTTGTCGGTGGATGGCGTTAATAATATAAAGAGATTTCTACTCAAACCGATATCTTTTATATTAATATGTAATATAATAATTAGATCACAAATTTAAACGTTTATTTAAGTGTTAACCGGTTATAAATCGAAGTGTTGCAGCTCCAATGAAAACAAAAGCGGCGTACATCCTTTAAAATTAAAATAAATAATTCATAAAAATGCGTTTTTGGACACGTTACAAGGAGCCGAAAAAAAATTCAATGCAATAGACTTTTAAATAATAAATATTTAAATTCAATAAAAATAATTTTTAAGACGCGGTACCTTAAAGAAGGAATTAAAATAAAAAAGGCCATTTAGAATATAGAAGACGTCAATTATAAACTATCAAGTTTTTTTGAATATCAATAATAATGGAGGAAAGTACCGGCGGCGGCGGTAGAGGCAAGTGAGCGTCGGTCCCCGGCGGCGGCGGGTCGTGCCAACTCGGCGGCGGCGGGGTCAACACGCGCGACGGCGACGACGCTGACGGCGGCGGCGGAGGCTCTTCCTGAAAATAATTTGCTTACATGTTAAAACGATAAACGAAATCGCCCGGCCATTCCCTCGTTCACTCTGGCTCTGAAGGAATATTCAATTCATACAAATTATAAATAAAAACATACGAAACATACACCATTTGCATATGTGTGCTAACGTGTGTAGTTATTCTGAACCCTTGCTTTGACATTTGTGGCCGAGAACATAGCTCGGGAACACCCCGTGACAGGCTAGTACTCAGTCTGGCCTGACAGGAAAATAGTTTAAAGTGAATCGTTTAATTCTTAATATGTACTCCTAGAGCTGATTGAACACACCTGTTTCCCAAATTATTATTAAGTAATAGTGATTTTCAGAAACAAAATTAAATAGATAATGAAACGGAGAACGTAAATCTCATATATTATCCGAAATCTAAAAAAATCTAAATAACCCTACAGATAATCAGTAAAAGATATGTTTTAAATTCTCTTTAGCATTGAGTGTCCATGGGCGGCGGTACCGACTGCAAACATCTGTCAACTGAAGAAATATCAACGCTATAAAACACTAAAAACATTTAAACCCTCGTTTTGAAGAACGAAAATGATGTACATACCACGGCCGTCTCGGGCGGTGGTGGCGTTGTGCAAATGTCCATGTCGGTGCTCGCGACAGCGGGGTACTCCCACTGCACGAACCCGTCGGCCTCTCGCTTGTAGCTGTATCGCGCCTCCGACCTGCGACAGACGCATGCGTACAAACACCCGCCGTGGTTCGCTACGTTAGCTTCCGGTGCGTTTACTTCTAGGATAACAGTTTAAGTTAAAATAACCTCACTATCTTACTGTTTCACTAACGGGCCACACCGTTCGCATGAACGATGGCAGATGGACAAAGAGGGTAACGAGGTGGAAAGGGTCCCCGGGGAAAAGAAAGAGATGTCGCCCTCCTGCACGGTGGGCTGACGTGCTTAAAGAAGTCGGTGAAGAAGATTGGAAGCAAAATGCTCGAGATAGAGGGAGATGGAACCAGTTGGATTATACTCTATAAGAGATTCTTCGAAAAAAATATGTTAGTATATTCAAAAATATAACTTAAACTGCCAAGTCCAGACGTAAAATCACGGGGCCTTACATTATCAAACGTTTAATGTAGAAACCAATATTGACAATACCGAAAAATATTCTTAATATACGTTTCTGCCAATTCTCAACAAAATGTACCAAACCCATAAATTAAGCTGTAATCGTGACGGTCGGACGAGCATACAAACTTCAAACTTCTAAAATAACACCGCAACACAATCGTAACTTCGTCCAAACATTTCGAACGAAACATTAAGATGGCGCACAACCGATTACGGTGTTATTAAAGTATTTTATCTTTAAAGGCCATCGCCGGAGGTACTTCTGGAAAAGATCAAAGCGCATTATCAAAGAAGTAAAATTAGAAATTACTGAAATCATTTCTTACCAGAGTTCGCGGCCGCCATCTCGGATTCGCCTCTCACGCCGGTCGACGATTCTTCGCTCTTGTTTTGCTTCAACAATTTGTTGTTGCAATTTTTAATCCTTTACAATTAAGTCTGAACAAGTCTGGCCGACACGAAGTGTGTCGTTAATACGGGCCTTAGAAATTTCGAAAAACTTTTACGTCGGGTCGTTTCAAAAAAACTCAATATGATGAAAATATTTTATTATATTAAATCCACATCGGTATATTTATCACAGGTTATTCGAGTCGCGAAGTTCTATTTCCCCTTTGCTAATACATTAATAAAATGTCGGCAGATATTAGTGGGACACATTATAAACGTTCGCGCTAATCAAATTGTCTACGAACACAATATATAACAACTTTTTATTTTAATAGTCAAATACGAACTTTGAATCTGTATACCAACTTAAACATAAACTCGACTGTTACTGTGCAAAGAGAATATTTTCATTGGTTAATATAAAAAAATAAGAACAGATTAACAATACAAAGTTCGCGGGCGAAGGAAGAATCCAATAGACTATATCACTAACGGATATTTCCGACGTAATTTAAGACAACATCCGAGTTACTCAACATAAATAATGCATAAATTATAATTGGTTATATAAATCATACTATAATCGACGAAACGAATAGCCTATCGGGTTCTCCCGGCGCATCGTACGCGTACGTTACTGCGTATGCGTGTGTGTGTGAAGTGCGTAGATGAGAATAGAGAAGCGCGTACCTCTGGAAGATGCAGAGCCATCCCGCGGGTGCGGCTCGGTGCTCGTGGGAAGTGAGCGCCCGCGCGGCGCCCTCCACCCATCGGCGCCAGTAGGTCGCGGTCAGAGCGCCGCCCCGGAACGCCGACACCAGGGTCTGGAGTGAACGCATCTTTAGCTTAAACCTCTCAAAGTATAATAGTTCCCTCGTACGCGATAATATTGCGGCAGATCTGCTGTAGACGCCGCGAGTGCACGGTGTACGTTGTGACGAAACATTCGTTATTCCTACGTATACTTGATAATTTTTGAAAAGTAAACTAAACAGTATGAAGCGACTCCGGGACTAGTACAAATGGCCCTTTCAAGGTTGTTTATCTCTTATTTAGCTCGTACACATAACAACATTATTTTTTTATAAGTTTTAAAATAATGTGTATGCATAAAATTATACAAGAAAATATGTAATCATAAACTTTACACACATACACATCAATTGTATTAGAATATAAGTAAGTTAGCAAGAGAAAAATTTAGCAACCACAAAATATTTTTTTAACTTAAATGATTTCATATGATACGTTTTAAGTTCCCTTCCTCTTTATAAGCAATGCTGTACTCTATAGTCTATATTGAAAGCCAAGATAGAATGTCGCCTACCTGCATCTGAACCATCATCTCTTGGAGCGGGGTGAGCGAGCTCGGTTGCACCTGGCCCAAATACTTCAACTTGGCCTCCACCAACTCCGCCAAATCGTCCAAGACCTCGTCCTTGTCGTTCAACACTTCTCCCCTCGTAAACAACAAGCCGTTTCCGTAATGGATGGCCTCTTTGGAATCGCCACCTTCGTGGTCTTCGTCTTTGCTGAAGCCGAGGCCGGTTCGTTCGTTCGAGAACCCTTCGATGAACTGACTATATTTCGTCGTGTACTCGGGTACTTCTATTTTTTGTGTCTTTGGGAGGACCGAGTTAGATATTCTCAGCTTCTTTCTCGGTTCCGTCGTGTTTGATAGATAAATGTTTTCCTTTTTCTCTTGAGCCTGTTCGGGTAAAGGGATCGGTTCCTTTGTTATATTTATTGCGCTGGGAAATAACGCAGGTCCGTTCTCTTTGAGCTCCTCGGGCGGATGAGGATTTGGCGAATTGGAAGCACTATTCTTATCGAAAATCTCAATTTTTGCTATTTTTGGTAACTCTTTCTTTTCAATCTCCTGTAGAAGTTCATCGATATCCAGATCTTTTGTTGATGTCGGTGAATCGGTTCTCGAAGAATCTTCCTTTAGGATCTTTTGTAACTCGGACGGTATATCTCCGCCGAGTTTTTCCAATAGTTTTGCTTTGTCTTTGAGCTGTTTTAATAATTCGTTCTCTTCTTCGCTGTCTTCGTCGCCAGCTTTCGATGTGGATTTTATTTGCTGAAAAATACAAAATAATTGTATTGTTTTGTTGAGGGAAACGTAACTAAGTTAAATTTTTATCCAAGTTCAGATTGAAAACTTAGCCATCAAAGTGTGTATAACTAACTCAATGTCAATACAAGTCTTTTCAATATCGACAAGATTCTGGACACATTATGTCATTCAAAACATAATGTGCCGAAAATGTATGTCTACATTGTAAATATAATTAATGAAGCACCACTTATATTTCAAGACTTGTTCCAACCTTGAACTGTTACAAAAGGCACTTTTCAGTGAACATTTTTCATCATTCTCTATCTTTTTTTTGTTTTTACTTTTCTTATCTGTGACATAAATAGCTTTTGTCACCCAATTGGCGAGCAGCTTTTTTTTATTTTATATACATAATTTGACATTATAGTTTCTTCTAGTTACTTACAATAAAAAATTATTTCACAAAAAATCTCTAAAACTAACATAATCTAGAAAAATATGTACCGGTTCCCTAACTTCTTCACTTAATTTAACCTCCGGGGGCTTTGGCTTTTCAACAACTAAACCTGGTGGTAATTCAGGTCCGATAGGTGCTGAATAACTTTGACTCTCTGGCAACGAGGGTCCAAATTCGACTGCCTTGGTTTTCTGTCTTTTAACTACTGGTTTCGCTGGGACTTGTTTAGGTACCGGTTTTGATGACGGCAAAGGTATCTTTGGACTTTCTTGTTCATCATTGGACTCAGAATCTGAATTATGGTAGGATGTTATCAGTTCTATTTTATATCTGAAAAGTAATTTATAAATACATGTTTATATTTTATTTTTTAAATCTTGCAAATATTGTGTTCATAGGTTCTACAAATAAATCAATACTCACTCATCGTCACTGTCATTAGATGGTCTCTTCTTAAAATTCTTTTTGTCTTTGAATTTTTCATTGATTTTACTAGGTTTTGTGGTAATTTTTGGTATTTTATTTGAATTTTGCTTTTCCACTAACGCTTGCTGGTACAGCTGCCATTCTTCCGCTGATACCTCTGTGTTTCCTGAAGTGGTATGTTCAGTTGAATGACATAAGTTTAATTAATACTAAATTTATAGAAGTATATTAATAATAATGTGACACAAGAGTAATAAGGACAAAACATTCAGTGACATTGAGGATACAGATCAATCAGATATACATATACAACATATTTGTTAATCCTTATAATTTATTGGAGAACCTTGTATGAAAAACATTTTAATGGAATATTATAAACAACACATTTTGTGGGCCTAGTGGCTAGCACGCAACTTTATATCCCGATGTTGTGCATTTGAATCATGCATCCAACTTTTCTATCTATGTGTGCTCTTAACACATGCTCCTATTGGCTAGGGAGCTGATGAGCAATATAACTATATGATTTGCTCATGAGTCAGACTTTTTAATAGCGATAATTATATGATAAGGAATATTAAGTACCATGTCTGCCATCATGGTAGCGCTGCATTGTCAATTGACACCCCCTTAACGCTTAGTGCGGAAACTGAGTCCAGCAACCTTTAAACTTGTTCCTTCCTTACAAATGTAAAGAAAAACATGTATACTAAATTATTTGCTCCTGTCTGCTTTGCTGTTGTGTTGCTTATAAAAAAATATTGAATAATCACCATTAATTAGCCATAATACCCATTCTTCCATGACTAAAACACGCTTGACATGTCTAAAATTCCAAAAATATACACTATGTGTCAAACACTGAAGGCTGATTGATTACTTCCTTTAAAAAATAAATATCAAAGATGATGATATCACTGATGTAATCTGCGACCAAGACCCATATTATTGTACCATAATAGGACCATTAGTTATTTTTTAAGCATACATGTATTCTACAAACCTGATGTTGTCAAATGCTGTTGTGCCAATTTAAGGGCTAACAAGTACTCTGGTGGAGCTTCCCAAGTGACTGCATTTGTTTGTTGATTCCAATAGTATGTGAAACCACTGTTTTCATCATAACAGGCAGACCAAGCTGAAAAAGTTAAAGTCAATATAAAAGAAGTCCAAATGTAAAATTATATTAAAAATACATAGTTTTACAACTTATTTAGCTGCTAGTAATAACTAAAGACTAGATAAATAAATTTAGAGTAATTATTAATTTTCCAAATACAAAACTAGTGTTTTTATCCTGTTCTCAGCTATCAACACAAAGAAAAACATAGTGAGGAAACCGGCATGTGTTAGACCCAAAAATTGATGGTGTGTTCAGACAAATTATCATGAAACAGATTCAGAAATCTGAGGCCCAGACCTAAAAAAAGGTTGTACTGATTTATTATTTATTTGCTACAGATACAATCTTGCTATATATACATTACAATATCTGATAGTTTAAGTAAAAGTCATACAATATTGATCAGCTAAAGCAAAATAAACTAATGTTATGTATTTGATCATCTATTTAGGTGTATAAAATTAAGTTTACAAAAATACAAACAAATTGTTACTGACTTATTATAATATACAATAAAGACATAAACACCTCGAAGCACTTTATCCTTTTTTTTTTTCATAAAACTTATACATATTAGAACTGTATGGATAAAAACACTAAGACTAAACATTTAGAGGACATTGTACAGAACAATTCTTTAATGAATCATTGCTTATATATTGTAACATCTCTTGTGTCTCATTCTTGAGTCTTGTGTCTTGTCTCAATACAAGTTTCGATTATTTAGTCTAACTATATCGAAATTAATAATGTATGTATTATAAATAGAGAATTACTATATAATGACAGGTTTAATACTTGACTAAAAGCTTACGACAATGTGAAATTGGCGGAGGATGAATGGCAGCAGACGCGTGGTGGTTCGCATAGCTCGAGGGCAACGCAGCAGGCGCAGGTGCACAATGGGGTATCTGTTTAACCGGCGAAGCATCCTCCAACTCTTCATCAGAATCACCGTAGTTTACGAGTAAGCCTAATGGATTAGTTTTATTCATATTTATACAATACAAGGTTGTTATAGTATGCCGAATGTAAAACCACACTTTACTACTTGGCAACCACTTTTGAATACACTATACCAGCCGTGTACATTATCATATTGTTTAATGTTATTTTAAATTGTGATAACACTTTGATGATTGAGACTTAGTTGCAAATGTTTTATTTATTAATTACAAATTTACAAAATAAGCATTTAGAAATTACAATTATTACTAAACACAATCTAAAATCTAAATACTAAATAGTAAATTATCTGTCATCTCAATTATACTCCACAGATTAAGTCAAGCCAAGTCTTATTGTCGTTCACAGATTTTCACTTATTTTTAATAGCGTGTAATTTCACTTGGTTATTTAAATATCACCAAGTGAAATTACACGCTATTAAAAAATACTATAACACTCATTGTTTTAAAGTAAATCACACAAGTGGCGGCGGATCAGGAGGGATCACTAAATTTACTTCCATTATTTCGCTTGCCAATACTAGTCTATGAAAAGTGAACATTTGGCATCGTAATCCTATATAATATAATTACGTTTAAAAAAAAAGATTTGAAGAAATTTCCTGCCTATATCAATTTTAAAGCTGCAAAAAATGCCTCCGCTATAACAATGGAGCACTGTTTATCTAGAACAAGCTTTGAGCAACATCATTTGGGTATATAGTAGGTATATACCTACTGCACTTCTCACATAATCATTACCTTTACTGCCAATTGCCATCTGACGACTGCATAAGGTTATTCTTTACAGTATTTAGATGAGTTGAACAATGATGATGAAGATAATAAACATGTATTTGTTTCGACGTCCACGGCACTTATTAAGAGAGTCGAACACAGCTCCTGATATGATCCTTAAAGCCCTGTTCTGTAATATATCCAAGTTATTTTTAATCCAAAGAACTAATCAAAATCGATTCTTACTATATCGCCCTGTTAACTGCAAATGCAGCACTTGCAAAAAAGTTGTTTGCAGATAAACGCGGTAACGCGGTTTATCAAAAAATTTTGAAAAAAATCTAGCTATCGAAAGACAAAGTTTAGAAGTTTGTTTTAGGTTTAAACTAACACTTTCTATCGGAAATAAATCATATTGTTGCATTTAGTTCTAGCATCTACTACTGAGCAAACAAATGGCCACTAGAACTAAATGAAGCACTAGTGCTTAGTACTGCATTTTGATCTAGCATATTATTAAAACCGCATATTTACCTAGTTAGTAATCAGTTTCTTTTTTTAATGCCTTAAAGTAAAAATGTTTTTAATTGATATAATAGAAGAATTGAATAATTAAAGAGGTTTTTGCTCTTTTTTGTTCTTTTAAGACTACCTTTATTGTATTGGGATATAACAAAACAAAGAAAACACATATTATTATTGTGAACAATCAGGTTTGTTTATTTCCATTACCGAATATGGCAGAAAACACTGCTTGAAAAATATATGTTAATATCTTTTTTTTTAAACCACTGGGTAAGATCTTATGATACCTTAACGTTAGGATTATTTCGGACAAAGTACTTATGCATAAAGGATGCGTTGAAATCACTTGGTAAATATCTACGGTAATACGCGTGTACCTGTCTGTAATATGCTATTGCTGGCTTAAAACTCTCAATGTGTCTCTCAATGTTTAACCTTTCTGTCAATTTTCTTTGTTTTTTAATTTTCTGAAAGCTTGAATTTATTAAGCACCTGGAAGTTTTTTCAAGATATCAAATATACGTTTATAATTTTGTTGTGTATCCCATGGTTGTTAAAACGAAAGTTTGGCAAAACTTCCTTGTCTGCAGTCTATATGAATATGCGCAGGAATAAATATAGCAACGCTGTTTGCCATTACATATCTTTGCATAGTAATTATATTAAAAGCATTCGTAACATTGTCTTGAGAGGAAAAACCTATTCAAAAACTCTGCCCTGCGATTCTGTAACTCACTTTTCGAACTCACACAGCGGCATTCTGATAAACAATAAACTACAAGCTCCCACCTTTTCAGAATGCCAAATCATAAAATGACTGCTTCACAACTGATTTGAGAGCGACCGCCGATGCGAAAACCGCTGTGTGAGTTCGAAAAGTGAGTTACAGAATCGCAGGGCTGTATGAAAATAAATCATATTGTACACTCTCGGGTGAATTTGAAATAATTTTCCAGAAATGTGATGCAAACAGTTTGTGTTCCTACAAATTCATGACCAACTTTTTTCATAAAGCTCCTAACTGCAATTACTTCATTTGCGGAAGTCAACTTAGTGAATAGTCTTTTATTTGAGATATTTGCAGACACAAATCTAATAATGCCAGTTTTTTTAATTTGAGCTGCTGGAATATATGCTATTATTTCATGGTTCTCAAGATGATATTGTCTATTAAATTGTTAGACGTATTGTGATGTTTAAAGATCACAACAATTTAATTTGCGCTAATACGCCTTATTGCCACCTCACTTGTAATATTCAAAAATATATTATGGTTTAAATAAATTGTACTTTTAATTCCCTTAATTTCCCACCAAGGATTCGATAGTACAATATGAATATCGGTCCTTCAGCTTTCGTATCAGCCATTACCAACAATGGCAAATTCGCACTATCTGCGACATTGAGAAAGCGCTCTACAAAAGAAGCAATCAGCAAATAGCAAATATCTCAAATCAATATTATCTGATTCAATAAATATCTACCATATTGTTAGTAAAAATTATTCAACTTTAGCAAAATTTTATTGGTTTTTGAACTGAAAACTTCTTTAGCGGCGTTGTACACTTTTTTTGGAATGGGTAAAAAATGTTAAACTCGCGTCAGGACACGTGACCTGATCGAAAATTAGTAAGACGGATGGAGAAGAGACAGCTGGCGCGGCGTATTTAATGTAATATAAATTCGTAATTCTGTACGATAGCACAATAAATAAATATAATATTCTACCACATAAATGATAGTACTTTTATACTGATAATTAGAGCAATTCGTGTAAAATTATTCCCTAACCATTCCAAACTATGAAAAATGCACAACGTTTAAGTTTTCATTTCTGCCGGCACTCCCAGAATGCAACCCGTCGGTTTTTTTCCTTGTTGTTAATGTCAAATGTCAATAACATTAGTATCTATAGAAGTATTATTTTATTATAATAATGGCTATCTATTAAATTTATTAGAATATAAATCTACACTGGGTACATAACTAATGTAAAAAAAACTTTTTTACTATTTATTTTCAAGCTGCCCACTGAAGTATTTCCGAACCAATTCGACTTAGGGTCCTTCAAGAAAAGAGCGTACCAATTCTTAAAAGGCCGGCAACGCACTCGCGAGCCCTCTGGCATTGAGAGTGTCCATGGGCGGCGGTATCACTTAACATCAGGTGAGCCTTCTGCCCGTTTGCCCCCCATTCGTTAAAAAAAGGGACTTCATGTTTTTCTTTAATAGTAACACTGTGTACAAAATAATGAAGTTGTGAAGTGAAAATCTCAAAATCGTTTTTCTGTTTCTTTTCTACCACACGATTTATTTACACAAGTTCAGTATTTAAATTAACGTAAATAGTTCTTGCTGAAAAGAGAGCTACTAAATCATCAATTACGAAGAGACTCCACTGGAAAATTCATGCTTTTGTGTTGTGATATTAACATTATTAATTTAATTATTGTACTTTAATAATATTGTAACACATGTACACTCATTGTTTTATTTCTCTACTTCAAATTATCCCTTGACGGAATTTTTACGGAATACAATTTGTGAGGATAACGGAAACGCAGTTTATTTCTTAAACTATTTAATTTAAACTTATATTTTTACACAGGCACGTATACATATATACATTACCTAAAAATAATTATCTGGTGAGTACACGTGTTATTTTCAGTATGTATATCAAAATACAAAATATTCAACCTCTTATAACGGATGAGTAAGAAACAAACATTAAATGCATATAACTATTTCTACGTCGCATCGCGAAGTTGTATTTTGAAAATAAATCAGTCGACAAATTTTGTAGCACAAATAGGTAGATAAAAGTTAAAGATGTGTTTGAGCATCATTTCGCTGTCTGAGTTATGGATAAATTAAGTCAAATTATTCACCACAATACTAAACTTATGGCAAGAAACTACTTTATTGTTAAAATGTTACCGTTTAACTATACATGGCTCACAGGTTCCAGGATTTAAGTAGGCTGGATGGCATTGAGGACAGTCAGTATTCTCTCCGTAGCTCGATCTACCAGGTCTTGATACCTCAACTTGGAAAGATGTTTGAGCGTCTTCATCGCCGTATCCTGGATGAGGACCATCCAAAGGGAATACGTAGTCAGGTACGAAATATGAACTTATATTATATTCTGTATTGTAACTACTAGGTGTAGGATCGGCTGCTTCTGTTGTTGAACGAACAGAACTAAATGGGCGTTTTCCTGGCGACTTCTTTGAGGTACCAGTTAAAGTAAAATTCCCTACTTTTGGAGGCTCTAAATCAAAAGCCGGTACTGCCCACTTCCATTGGTAATAAATTGGCGGACCCATAGTTGTTGTCAGACTCTGAGCTGGAAATTCTGATTTTGGTGGTACCAAGTTTCTGTTAGGTTCTGGCACTGAATTAGTTGCAACGCTTTTATTAGTATGTAATTTGGAATTGATTGTATCAATTCTTGATTGATCTTGTTCTCCTTTCTTCTTTTCACCTCGTACGACGTTGAATTTATTGCCATAGTTTTTGTTTCCTCGTGATGACCTATCTTCTTCGGAGCTAGCTTGTCCAGATGGCAATTGTTTGTTTATATCCAATATTTGAGACTTTGTCATTGGTGTTGCTAAATTGGTGTCTGGAGAATTTGGGTCAAATCGATTAATGAAATTATATACTGGATCTTTGTCTGTCATTCTGATGTCTAATTGGTTAGCTCCATCATTTGATTTTGGCAAGAAAGGTAAACTCAGGTCTTGAGACGGTGGGGATAGCGTCGTTTCTGTTACAGGCGTCTGAACTGTTGATTGAAATATTATATTGTCACCATTGTTTTGTTTATTACCAAAAACATTACTGGTGAAATCTGTATTCAAATCATTGTTGGAGTTGAACTGCTTTTTGTTAATGGACCTAGGTGTAGTGGAACGTTGACCGATGCCTGTAGACCAGGAAGAAGGTGGTCGGTAGTTCTGTTTATCACTATCGAGACCATTGTTGTTACTATTTGAAATAGAATCAGCTATTCCAACAATACTGTTTCCAGGGTGAATGGAGAACTGAAACAATTGTTTTACTTTAATCGAGGTGCTGCTGATAATAAGATTTATCATCAGGTGATATTATTGTATTATGGTTATAACAATAAAATAAGATTGTTACCAAACCTTTGACTCAGATTCTCGTAATCCATCGTAATAGTTGGTATTCGGCGGTACAGAGAGTATGTCTGGTCGTGGTGTGCGCTGACGCATTTCTTCTTCAGACACAAACGGTTTATCACGTTGACCTGAAATAATGGACAAATATTGTTTTACCCAAGTTGCTGTTTTGTAAGAGATAACGAAAGCATAGCTGTAAGAAGAAAAACTTAGTGAAACTAAATATTTCTTTTAACCCATAGATAAACATAATTATTCATAGACAAAGTTAAATTGATTCCGACGTACATGATCATATCATATCAAGCTGCGACTGTAAACATGGTACCTCCTACGTTTCTAGTCTGACAATGTAGAATTGTTATCTAAGATTAACCAAAACCGACCAAAAAATTGATCTGAATGATCAATAAAGTTAAAGTTTATTTAGTACACCCGAAATACTAAATATGTGAGAAGGAAGTAATAATCCACAACTCCAAATCCAACGGTCATACATTATCCAATTAGAGTTTACACGGCAGACGGAAATGTAAACCAAGGACATTAGTCTCTGTTACGTCCGAACCAATACTACACTCACGGTAACTGATAAAGTAAACAAGCAAAAAGTTATGTTTATAAATCCTATATAGAACATATATTACGGAATTTATTTAAATACAAAACATATATTCACATAAAATGAAATTCATCGGATTATTTAGATCTACTCGCTTGGTAGGTACATTCTATCAAATTATAACTTGAAACACTTTATTAATGAACCGACTAGAAATTTATCTTGTATTGACCATATATTGAGTAATATTAAGGTGCTAAAGGCGAAACACTCCGTTTATATATGTCAGATCATGATACGTGCCAAATATTAAGGTTTCCCGTCACAAAAACAAAGCCAATTATCTTAAAAGTGGTGTATATTTAGAAGAGATTACTGCTCTGAAAACATGGAAAAGTTTCGGGGATCCTTTCAAATTTGTCCTGGAGCGAGGTATATGAAGAAAGTTCTTGCGATAAAGCTTTCCAAATTTTTCATGACAATTTATCATTATTTTTTTATCTCTGCTTTCCAGTTATTAAAGTTAATGTTAACAATAAAATGACAACACCCAAGTGGATCACACCAGGGCTTAGAATCTCTAGTAGGCGTAAGAGACAACTTACTTTTAAATATTTTAAAACGAAAACAAATGAAAATAAACAAGCATACAAAAAATATAACAATTATCTCAAAAAAGCGTTGTAGCATCGAAAAAATACACACATTTCGCGTATCTACAAAACGCAAAAATAAATCTCGTGCAACTTGGCATATTATAAAAGACCAACTAGACCAGAATCGAAGTCCTATAATTGCTAATAAAATCTTAAATGATAATAATCAATTGATATCTGATCCAAATGAAATAGCGAATTTATTTAACAACTATTACATAAATAATAAAACAATTAAGAAACCTAGCACTAATCTTCAAAACGTTCATTCTGTAAACCCATCCTTATTTCTAACTCCTTGTTCATGTGACGAGAGTTTTCAAAGCTATAAATAATCTTAATAATACTAAAGCAGCAGGTTATGACTCAATAACAACAGAAGTGTTAAAATTCTCTTCACAACAACTAGCAAGTATCCTTACCCATCTCATAAATTTATCTTTCAAAGGGTATTTTTCCCATTCTCTAAAATTATCAATAGTTAAACCTATGTTTAAAAAGGGTAATACAGAGGATATTAGAAACTACAGACCTATAACTTTAATACCAACTTTAGCTAAAGTGTTGGAAAAACTGTTGCACAATTTTTTTAGGCAAATTCAATGTTATAAATGATGAACAGTACGGTTTTTCAAAGGAGGTAAAAATACTATCCTAGCAGCTTTCTCTTTAGTTAAGGCAATTGTAGAACATATCGATAGGCGCAAGCAGGTGTCTGTAGTTTTTTTGACATGAGCCAAGCTTTTGATTGCGTAGACTACAACATTCTTCTTCAAAAGTGTAGACTTTATGGAGGATCCGGGAGGATTGCCTTTAAATTGGCTGGAAAGTTACCTAACCGGTCGTAAAGCAATATGTTGAAATCACACATACTTCATCTCCTAAACATATTGAAAGGGGGTACAAGTCTGTGGCTATAGATTGCAATAAAGGCGTTCCTCAGGGAGCATACTGGGCCCATTGCTGTTTCTTCTGTACATTAATGATTTACCAAATTTGGTTACTAATAAATGCATTCTTTACGCGGATGATATCTCAGTGGTTGTGTCGAATGATACTACGCGTAACCACGAATCATTATTGAATGGAAACAATAAAGAATGTCACGGAATGGTTGGAAATTAATAATTTAAGTATAAATGTAAAAAAACCAATTTTATACAATTTCGGAACTATAATAATTGCAGACCTAATAACCTCAAAATCAATTATAAAAACAAGTCAATTGAAGAAGTTGTTTCACCAAGTTTCTAGGCATAACACTAGACCAAAATCTTAACTGGAAACAACCATATTTTAACTATATGCACGCACCTTAATAAATTTGTCTTTGCTTTGAGTCGATCTCGCAAAGTAGCTTCAAAACACGCAGCAATTATTGCTTTCCACGGCTATGTTGCCTCAGTTTTGCGCTATGGTATCCTTATGGGGAAATTCGGTAGATGTGAGTAAAGTTTTTATTACTCAGAAAAAATTGGTGTTAGGGGCTATCATGGGGCGTTGGACCTCTTATGGAGCTGTAGGCCAATTTTCCACGAACTCGGTATCTCTGACAGTACCAAGGTTTGTATATCTTGGAAGCAGTTATGACTGTCAAGAAGTATCCAAAACTATTTAATACATACAAAGAAACGTGCCTTATATATAGCCCCGAGGATCCAACACGGCTGCGGGTGCCTGATGTTGCACCGCGCTATATTCTAAAAATTGTAACGCCATGGCTATAAGAATATTTAATCACCTTCCCAGAAGTTATAGATCGCTTCATGTAATGTTTTTTAGGGGAGAGGTGATTGGGTTTCTAAAGTCAAGGTGCTTTTATAGCGTAGGGCGAATATTTGGCCTATAAGTTTGACAACAATTGATTATAAATAGCTTGACGTATTATCATGACATTTTTTTTTTATTATTTGACATAGCAAAAATTTATGACATTTGCATGCCTATTTATATATGGCTGATTGTCCGGATATAAAAAATAAATAATGTGATTATAAAATCACATAAGGTTATTGTAATATAGTAAAATTCTAATTGTTAATTATGTAAGATAAATTTGCACGCTATTATATGTGGCAGAATATGGATTAAGATTGTAAAATAAGATTTGTATACCATATTCTTGCAAATAAATATATTATATTAATTATAAAGGTACATAATGAAGGTTTATTCTTATAAGCTAACTACTTAAAACTCAACCTCCAACCATTCAAAGTTAGAGTGTATTCCTCCCTCAAAGGCCGGCAAACCCCCCCCAAAAAGGCCCGGGGGGGCCTTTGGGCTTGCCGTAGGCTCGCATTATATTAAAAAAAACTATTAAACATATTATATTTATTCCTTAGCCGAATACCAAAATGCCTTTAGATGACTCTGCAAAAACTCAACACTTCCTTAAAAAAGCCTACGAGTTAGAAGGCTAACGCTGTCATAGAATAATAACAATTAAATATAAACTTGCCAATTAACCCGCAATCTGTGCTATCCTTCATCTGAGGCCACACACAAACCTTGCTACTTGATACTACTTATACCACAATTGTTTAATTTGCATCTCTTGTTAACAATCAAAAATGCATTAGGCTGAGCACGCGCAGTCAATCAATTTGATTTACACCAAATATTTGCATGAATCATCTTCTATTTACTCAGAGTTTGATAGAGTTTATAATGCTTTAATTTTAATTTTTTTTAAAACCATTAGTAAATAAAAGCGGCTAAAGGGCAAAATAAAGGTACTCTGTAACTGTAATCATTTCTGGGTAGTCAAGCCGTAGGAGCAAGTGCGCATATAGTAATAAAACCTCATTGTTTTACATTTGCCCGCTTAACCACTGGACTAAGCTACACTTAAAACGTCGGGGAATGTATTGACTAAAAAGATATACATACTGGAGGAAATAAAAATTCATACCAATGAGGAGGTTGGCATCGTAATCGTTTTCTGAGTTGGAGCAATTCACCATGTACCAGTGGTCACATACGAGCATTCGTTGCTGGAACAGAGTGGTGTTGGGGCAAGAGTAACTAAACTGCCTTCCCAGACCATCGCACATGTGGTAGATCTGAAAGCAAATACGACAACAAGTCAATAGAGATTTTGACGTTAAATCTAATTAGACGCATAAATTTTATCAATATATTGAGTATTATATATCGTGTTAATGGTTAAAGGTAATATAAAATCCTTCAAAGTATTTCATTAGATATAAATTGTTTACTGAAAATATGATAATAATTTGTATGTCTAATTTTTTTAAATATATTTTAATTCATCAGCAATCAGCCGATGGATATCAGATTTTTTAAATGGTGGCAATTAGGCGAATGCAAATACAATATTTTTTTATTTTCCTCTGTAATTCGCAAACTATCAGACTGCGGCAAGTTTTACCCTTCTCAGCCGATACACACAGTCCGTCGTTTCCAAAGGCCCGAAGCAAGGGGGTTGACGTGACACTGAAGTCTCATTTTGTATAGCACGGTTGATCTTTTAATCTCTTCCTCGACAGTGGCAATTCCCAAATTACTCTTGTAGTCTATTATCTATTTCTAAATATTAAGATATTCTGAGACTTAACATAATATGTATCGCATATAACATACAAGTTAATTCATGTTTGTACAATTTTTTATAGGTTGAAGACGTCTTTAATTGTTTATGTACAAAAAAATATAGTTTACTTTCTAATATAACAAGATGACCCGGTGAACTTCGTATCATCTACATATATTTCTGTAAAATGTCGTAAAACTTATGTTATTTCTAAAAAAAACAAAAGACATCGAATGTTTTAAAGCTAGAATTAGAATCGTATCGGATTAAAAAATATTTCAAGATCAGAATTAGCCAAATCGGTCCAGCCATTCTCGAGTTTTAGCGAGACAAATAAACAGCTGTTCATTTTTATACTTATATACATTGTAATGACATTGTTGACAAATTAAAATCCCAACGTAACCCAGACAATCTCCATCGTTGCAATGACAAAAACAACAAACCATTTATGTTATAATAATTACAAAACCATCACTTTTGTACGTAAGTAATTTAAGGACGTCTTCTAAGAAATAATTTATGCTTCTAATAACTTCTATAACAAGAACTAAAATCAACAAAATAATTGGTATCTTCAGTACGCAGAATTAAAACGGTACGGGTTAAAGGATTAAGTAAAAAGAACAAGTTTACTATTTATAGTTAACTTATACTGGTGAACCATTATAATACTTAGTCTAAAAAAAATATAATAATCATAATCCAAGATTAAACACAATTACGCAAGAGTTTTAATACGCAAGAGGTTTTTATTACAGATGCGTACGCTACCTTACTTTTATATATGAAGCAATGTATGTACTACAGTAATGATACTATCGTGTCATAGATACAAATCATCGATATTTGTTAGACACAGAATGCTGACTACCTGAACAATGAAAAAGCTCTGCGTTAGTGAGTGGTTGCTACTACCCCTTTGCGTCCTGCCCCCCCCCCCAAACCCCCAACCCCCCCCCCCCCCCCCCCGGGCCGCCCGCCGGGGGCCCCGGCCCCCGCCGGGCGGGCCTTGGTTTTTTTGGGTTTTCCCCATTCACCACACCCCCCCCCCCCCCCCCCCCCCCCCCCCCCATCCCCGCCCGGCCTCCCCCCGCCTTCCGGGGGCGCCCCCGGCCCCGCCCCACCCCCCGTGTGTTTTCGAAAAGTGAGTTACAGAATCGCAGGGCTGGTCTCAGATAATTGGATCTGTTATAGTCAAGTAAGTGATGAGCGATGCCAGACACAGCGCGTCTATCTCTTAGTTACATATATCTTACACGTGTCAGTTTATTATAATAATTATCTTTCACCGCATGGGCATTTTTTGATCTCGCACATAGAAAGACACATTTTTCGGTAAAGGTTAAGAACTTAGTACTACGACTGTGGATATCTGTTTAAGCTTAAAGAAAAATACCATTACGTAATAGTCATAACAAAAAAAACCATTCTATAAATCTAAGATAGACAATGTCGCAGACGTGATTTAGGCATTTTAAACTGTTTTTATATACAAATATAATTTATTAATGTAGGTAACTTATTTGACACTTTCAAACGTCATAAAAAGAAGTTAGAACAACAGTTAATGGTTTTAACATTTACTGCCAGTGCTCAAATCAACAGCGTAGAACGTACAAGAAGAACTGGAAATAAAGTCTCCATCACTCTTTTAAATTGCCAAAGTTTTTTCTCTAAAAATGTTTGTAAACGCCTGCAACTATCATGCTCCTTATCACACGTCAAAGCAGTTAATTATTGCAATTAAATAAAAAAATATGAATAAATAAATAAGAAAACCAAACCTGTAAGGTTCTATCAGCAAGACACGGTGAAATAGGATCATGCAGTATGCACTAACATTACTGTGGGAACAGACGCGAACACGTAATATCAAGGTGAATCAAGGCAGAAAATAATTAATACATTATGTACACCGATCCATATAAAAGTGTGTATGTGTTTTTTCTTGTAATAATTTATTGCAACTGTTATTAAAATTTATCATCATATAGCAATTTTATACTGAATTATGAAATTTTTAAGTAAACACTTAGCCAGACATAAACCATTTCTTTAAATAATTACAATGTTCCTTAAGTTCCTAAAGACAGAATGTAAATTATTTGATGATCTCAATAATTACTGTAATTACAAATCTAATTATTTGATTAATTCCGGCATTTTTAAGGAAGTTTTGTGCCGGAATGATTACATGATGTACACATGATATCAAATCTACATATTATTTTTTGTACGTTATACACACATGCAACACGTTGTTTTTCTGTCAGCGCATTTTGCTTTTATTTGTAAATATTTAATTAGTTTTTTATTTTGCAATGTGAATGCTGTTCTTGAAATCTAAAAATAATGTAAAATAACCTTCTTTCCGGTAAAGGTTGCGATTTCGTTCAAGCCGAAAAAAAACGGAAACAAAAACAAATTTATAATCTAATAAATTAATTTAAAATTTTACCATTTTATTTTTTTTTATAGAAAAAACATAGAAACACACACATAACATAATTAAAATAAGCACATAACACGTTGTATTATAAAAATTTTATAAAAAAAAATGTTATGTAATATAAATTTACAACTATTAAAAATTAATTTATCCGTTTGGTCTTTAATTCATAAGTAAAATTTTAAATAGTTGTAAATTTATAATAATACATAACTTCAATCCGGTCAAAATAGTGTTTTATTACATAACACATACAACTTTTTGCCATAATGTAGATTTAATAATATTATGTTCTCGTAAATTTTAAATAGAGATATTAAGATATAATTTAATAATTGACATAACAAACAATTTATATTGAAAAAAAAAACAGTGATCTAAATTACAAGCAATAAAATAGCATCCTTTAAAGAACACAATAGCAAAGAAATCTGATCTTTAAAAACAATTATACATACAATGTTAAAATAATTGGTTTGAACTAGAACACGATTTTATTGTTGAGACCTTCAAACTTCCTCATTCTTTACAAAATGAAGACGCCATCAAAACAATGTTTCAATAAAAAATAAATCAAGAACGAACAAAGATGCTATGAATAAATTAAATTCTTTATTGTTAGAGATATTTCATGAAATTCCATCACTATCATATTGAACCTATAGAGATATTTGTTTATTTATTTATTCCACATCATTATATGCTCGAACAATAATAAATAAATAAAGAATAATTCCATTTCAATGATAAAGCGTACTGTAGTGTCAGTGTCGTAGTTTTTTCGGGGATGGAGGGATTACTTATATATTAAGAGCTGCCCATTTGTCCCATGATCTAGGAAAATATTCGAGAAACTGAACATGCACATTTTATCATAATAATATGACTAATATGAACAATTAAAGACTAATATGGTACAAATGTTAATAATGTCCAGGAAGATAACCGAAATGAAGTTTCAGATTTTAAGTAAAATACTCACTTTTTAATAAATTATTAAAAATATTATTTAAAAATCAAGTCGGTACATTCAAACGGATTCGTTGAAGTGAGAGTCAGTCACCTTGAACTTTAAGTTTACGCAATCAATGATAGTGAAATTAACGTCGCCGTGAAGACTCGCCACGTGAATCGAAGTGGCCGATGCTTTACAAAAGTGAAATAATATTACTAATAGCTTAATAAAGTTTTTAGCTGTTTTATTATGACTTTTCTTTGAAAATTCCACTATGGAATTTTTCATTTCTTTTTTAATATACATTTTATTACTGACTGTACCTGAACATTTTTGATTTTCTCAAGACAACCGATTATATAATCTTACAAGCAAATACTACACTATCGGAATAATTTATTGTTCATCATGAATATAGGGAACTAGGAAACTGGGTCAGTTTCGTTTCAATGACTTGCATATCAAATTGTCAATGTAACTTTTTGTAATTCTACGCATTGAAAATTAATTTGGAATATTTGAATTCTTGGTTAACATAAAATACTTTTAGAATACAACAGAAAACGGTGGCTATATAATAATGAAATAGAATAATATATATTTAGTACAAACTACGCGTTAATATATAAATATTTGATTTTAGAAGCCACTTAAGCTTATTATTAGATGCTTAAGATCATTTTTAAACTAGCGTTAAATTATATTTAAAATGTGTAATATACGATCAACAAACTCTTTAAATAAATGTTTTAGCCATTTCTGTTAAATTTCGTACTAGTTTTAAATTGCAAGATGTTATAAATGCAAGAAGTAAAATAGACACAGAATTATTGTTGTTCTGTTAAATTTGTTTAACCAATGTTATGTTAACAAGAATAAATTCGTTGATTTACGATAAATATTTTTTTTTTCAAAGAAATTACTATTCAGATTATAAAAAGTAAGTTTATAATAAAACAATTTTTACCGGATTGTAGTTATGTATTTACAATTATTTTTCATAATTTTAAATTTAACCGACGTTTCGCGGCTTTACAGCGTCACGGTCACGGTGACTGAAGACAAAAGATGTTGAATGTCAAAAAGTATCACA